AAGGAAAAGAAAACAACAATAACAACACCACCAACAACAAAAAACAAACAACAACAATAACAAACAACAACAACAACAACAAACAGCTGGGCAGACTGCAGTATTATTGATGCAATATTTTGGTGTTGGTAAGAATTGGTGAAAATACAAGTGTAGACATATTATGATCGTCTGTCTTGATTATGTGTGTGTGTGTGTGTGTGTGTGTGTGTGTGTTTCAGGGGATAATAATAACTTTTCTTTCATTTTTCTGTTTCTTTCTTTTCTTTTTTCTTTCTTTCACTCTTTTATTATCATTAGTTTTTATTCCTATTTATGTTTTAGTTTTCATCTCTCTCTCTCTCTCTCTCTCTCTCTCTCTCAGCTGGCCGACATAAGCCTATCGACTGGGGGCGTCGTTTCGTTTAATCTTCAGGGTAATGTTACTGGCTGCCACACCCTTGGATTTGTTGACGCTTCCCAACACGTCAGTACCCTCACACTATTCAGGGTCCTTCACGATCTTATTCAGGTAACTTTCACACTATTTAAGTACCCTTATGTTGGCCAATTAACTCTCATACTTCACAGGTATATTTCACAGTGTTCAGGTATCTTTTCTTCTCTTCAGGTTACTCAAAGTGTTCAGGTACCCTTAAGTAGTCCAGGTAACTTTCACAGTGTTCAGGTACCCCTCCCGTTACTACTCCCTGTTGCTCCTACCATCCTTTGCTTTACCTCTACTTATTGTTGCTAGTGGTGTCTAATGCTAACCAACAGTGTTTACAGCTGTCACCGCGGCCTTGCATGACCAGATGGCTCATAATTCACAGGATCTCTCAGGTAGGAGTGAGGAGCGAGCGTCATTCTTCCTTGTCATGGTGGCGGCGTGAGGGTAGGTGTCAATTTTAGGTGGATTTGTGTTGGTATGTGGAAGTGTGTGTGGGGAGGGGTTGTGGAGTGTGTGTGGGAGGGTTGTGGAGTGTGTGTGGGGTGGAAGTGTGTGGGGAGGGTTGTGGAGTGTGTGTGGGTGGGAGTGTGGGGGGCTGGAGTGTGTGTGGGAGGGGCTGGGGAGTGTGTGTGGGGGGGTGGAGTGTGTGTGGGGAGGGGTTGGGGGGGTGTGTGGGGAGGGTTGTGAAGTGGGGGTTTGTGGAGTGTGTGTGGGGGTTGTGAAGTATGTGGGGGCAGAGTGTGTGGGGGTGTGTGGGGGTGTGGGTGTGTGGGGGTGGGTGTGTGTGTGGGGGGTGGGGGATCAGGAGTGTGTGTGTGGGGGGCTGTAAGTGTGGGGAGTGTGTGGGGGGGTTGTGAAGTGTGGGGGGTTATGGAGTGTGTGGGTGTGGGGTGGGGGTGGAGGTGTGGGGGTGTGTGTGTGTGGGGTGGAAGTGTGTTGGGGGGTGGAGGTGTGGGGATCAGGAGGTGTGGGGTTGTAGTGTGGGTGTGGGTGTGGTGTGTGCTGTGTGTGGAGTGTGTTGGGGTGGAGTGTGGGGGGTGTGTGGGGTGTGTGGAGTGTGTGGGGGGTGTGTGAGGGGGTGAGGTATGGGGTGGTGTGTGTGTGTGTGTGTGTGTGTAGGGTCTTTGAGGTGTGTGTGTGTGTGTGTGTGTGTGTATGTGTGTAGGGTCTTGTGTGTGTGTGTGTGTGTGGGGTGTGTGTGTGTGTGTGTGTGGTGTGTGTAGGGTCTTTGTAGAGGTGTGTGTGTGTGTAGGGTCTTTGTAGAGTGTGTGCTTGTTTGTAGAGTGTGTGTGTGTGTGTGTGTGTGTGTGTGTGTGTGTGTGTGTGTGTAGGGTCTTTGTAGAGGTGTGTGTGTGTAGGGTCTTTGTAGAGGTGTGTGCTTGTTTGTAGAGGTAATAATAATAATAATAATAATAATTAACGGTTTATTGAAAGAGCTTACAGCTGAAAAAATATACAGTTACATATTTGGGGAATGGTGTGTGTGTGTGTGGGGGGATGTGGCGTGTGTGTGAGTGTAGGGTCTTTGTAGAGGTGCGTGTGTGTGTGTGTGTGTGTGTCTGTTTGTAGAGGTGTTTGTCGCTAGAGGTGTGTGTGTTGAGGGGGGGGCATTGTGTTTAAATATATATGTACCAACGTGTGTATATGTGCGTGTGTGTGCATCGCATTGTATTGAAATATATACGTGCTTGCATTTATGTGCATGTGTGTGCGTATGTGTGCGTGTGTGGGGGAAACATTGTGCATTTGTCAGTTCGTTATACGTGTATCACCTTCACACAAGATCACAACAAGCAACAAATTTTCGGAATAGAGACAATTTTCTCCTTACTACATTCTTACATCACCTTAAATTTGCCTAATAAACTATAATATCTCTTACGCATTTAATCTATGCATTGTAAATCATACATAATTTACCGACTCACATAATTTACCGACATGATTTGCCGACTTATACATAATTTGCCGACTTATACATAATTTGCCGACTTATACACAATTTGCCGACTTATACATAATTTGCCGACTTATACATAATTTGCCGACTTATACATAATTTCCGACTTATACACAATTTTCCGACTTTTACATAATTTGCCGACTTATACATAAATTGCCAATATACTTGATGGTGTTATTATGGTCGAATTATATGGTATTTTATCCAAGTAGTAAAGTGTTTATGTGATGATGAGGGTTATGTAAGTGGGAAACGAGAATAAGGTGTTTTTGTTGTTCTTCTTTATCATCATCATCATCATCATCATTAGTACAGTATCATCATCTTCATCATCATTATTATCATCATCATCATTAGATCGTTTGAATAGTGATATTAATTACATATTGATAGAAAAAAAAATTACTACATATCCTATTCAAATTCAATAAATAATAAACATATAAAAGTAAAAGAAAACATGAAAGAAATACCAATAAATAATAAATTCAAACTATTAATAATTTTCACCAAGAATTAATTACCGTGGCTCATAGGTAACTTCCTAGCGTGCCGACTCCAGGACACGTGTTCGATATTGCTGTCTGCCCTTTGGGATACCATCATATCAGACAACTTCCAGAATGTTAGAACGATTTTGTTGTCATTCGTCTGGTCATAAAAGGTTATAAAGTTTTCTATCATGTGTCTTCAGCTTGTGTTAGTTTACCGCTGGAGGATAATGAAGACCTCCCCCTCGTTCGTCTGTCTGTCTTTTAGTTACTCCAAGTATCATCAAGCTTCCAAAATCTCATTTATACAACTCGTATTTTGATAATTTTTTGGTATTATGATAATCTCGTTCGGTACAGTTAAAGACATTTTTGGGTACAGTGTTATTCTATTCTTGTAATAAATCCTGACCAATGATATTTATTTTTTTTTCTTTCATGGTCTAATAACCGGTGTTTTCGTTGAAGGTTATATAGTCCATCGTTTCGTTTCTTGTCTCTACGTGTTATACCTCTCATGCAGTCGCCATGTTTCAAGTCCATAATTCAACACCTGGAAATAGGAGATGTCAAACACTTTCTTTTTTTAGTCAATGAATCAAATTACATCTGAATCTTGGTTTAGTTTTGCATCGTTCCTCAGAATTTTTTTTTTTGGGGGGGGACTCGTTATTGAATTTCGCGTGACTGGCGGCTTACCTGTAGCGCCACCTTATGCCCTGAATATACATCTTGCATGACTGCCTCTAGTTTTAAAAAATGTTGACCTCAATTGGGTGGAAAATTGTGATCCTTGGTTATAAACTACTCGCCAAGCTCATTGTTTCTTGTTTAGTGTTTTGTTTACTTTTATTTGCCTTTACTCAGCTATTGTCCTTGTGTTCGTTATTATACCAAGTGTGTGATGATGTGTAGACGCTAGCAGTATTTAACTCTTTACTTTCATGATTTAATTATTTATAATCCTTTTCTAGTGCCGCTGTTAAAAGGCTTCACAGAATGGTATATCAACGTGTGAACTTTATTTGGTAGTTTAGGTTTGTTTTTGATTGTGTGACCTGATTATAGGGAGGGAGGGGGTAGGAGGGGGTGAAAGGAGAGGAGAGAAGGAGAGAGGGAGAGAAGGAAGATGGGAATAGAATTATCAGCAACTAAGTAAAGAGAAAAGACGCCAAGAAATAATAATAATAATAATAATAATAATAGAAAAAATAAACTAATAAACAAAAATAAAATACAAAGGTAGAAATACAATTACATAAATAATAAGTTTCTAATTCCAATTCTAATTTATTTTAGTGGTAAGAATAACAATGACATTATTATCATTATATATCTAGACTTTTAACGTTGAATAAAACTGATTTTTAAACAGTAATTTGTCCTTGTGTTGACATTTGTTATTGTAACCATTCACAACTGGAGGTAATAAATAGTGAAGAAATACGACTTTCATTTGTAATTAAAATTATGTTTCCACAAGGTAGTTAGAGGTTAATTATATATATATATATAATTTTTTTTTTTAATCATTACGAATCATATTTGTTATAGTATGATAGGATTTACGTCTTTATGTTTTGAATTTGAATAAAAAGGATGAAATCTTATTGGTATTACAAGTTTCCATTATTATTATTTTTTTATTATTTAGGAATAATTTCTTTGAGTAATGATATGTTGAATATTACCGTTTGATGTGGTGAGGAAATTAAAGGTAAGGTTTTAGGTCAGACTCGCGGCCGATAGCTATAGACATTAACTCACTAATTGACTTTTTTCTATTAAATTTATAAAGAATATTTGACCTGACTCGTCACAAGTATAAAATGGTCTTAAATTTATATTTCCAAAACTTAATTTATGGTGAAAACCTTTCAAACAATTTTTTAAAGGTGAAGATGAACTAACCTAACCTAACCTAACCCAACCTAATCTAACTTATCAACCTAACTTAACGGTCTTAGAATATACTTTTTTGGTATAGTGTGGTTAGGTTAGGTTAGGTTTGTTTGGTTCGTTTTGATTATCTTACAGTACATAACACTACAGCCGCCATAAAGGAAAAGGTCCGCGATGCTGTCCTGGACAACTACAAAACTACTACATACTGTACCTGTGAGGAATGCTGTTGTATCCTTGCTCTGTACCGCCGGCCTGTTATCTAATGTATCCTTAGGCTGTGTAATTCACGGCTGTACTCTAGAAGAATCTTTGTAATCCACAGTTGTACTTCTTTAGGTTGTTTAATATTACTTATGTATTCTTGTAATCCACACCTGTGCACTTGTAGGCTATGTAATCCCGCCTGTACACCTGTAGCACTTGTAATCCACACCTGTGCACTTGTAGGCTATGTAATCCCGCCTGTACACCTGTAGCACTTGTAATCCACGCCTGTGCACTTGTAGGCTATGTAATCCCGCCTGTACACCTGTAGCACTTGTAATCCACACCTGTGCACTTGTAGGCTATGTAATCCCGCCTGTACACCTGCAGCACTTGTAATCCACACCTGTGCAATTTGCAGGCCATGTAATCCCGCCTGTACACCTGTAGCACTTTGTAATCCACACCTGTGCAATTTGCAGGCTGGTGTATCCCGCCCGTACACCTGCAGCACTTGTAATCCACACTGTACCCTGTAGGCTATGTAATCCCTGCCTGCACACCTGTAGCACTTGTAATCCACACCCGTGCAATTTGCAGGTTGCGTATTCCCGCCTGTACACCCGCAGCACTTGTAATCCACACCCGTGCACCTCAGGCTATGTAATCCCCGCCCGTAACACCTGCAGCACTTGTAATCCACACCTGCGCACTTGTAGGCTATGTAATCCCGCCTGTACACCTGTAGCACTTGTAATCCACACCTGTGCGCTTGTAGGCTATGTAATCCCGCCTGTACACCTGTAGCACTTGTAATCCACACCTGCGCACTTGTAGGCTATGTAATCCCAGTCTATACACTTATACACCATGAGAGTCAAATTGTCTATCACGTCACTTCATGGCTCAATAAGTTTACTCTTTACAAATATCAACACAAAATTTAATAAACAAATGAATTGTACCATTTTTCCGCATTTGTTTTTACCTTATCGCTTGTCTTTTTTTTTTTTTTAGTATTTTGTGTATTTTTTTCCCCCATGTGAGTACCAAAACATCACATGCTTTCTCGTTTATAGTTGTGGCATTCCGTTTATTTATTTTTCTCCCAGTACGTGTGTGTTTCCCGCCTCTTGAATCACATACTTTACCTGTTTCACTCCTACCCCACTTCCGTCGTGTTAGCTCCACTTACAGGCGTCATTGTCGAGCTTTTAACGAGAAAATATTTGCCTTTGTTTTACCATATTTATTCTCATCTGGTTCACCGTCATTGATATTTCCAATTTGCACCAATTTTACAATTATGAGATATAATGGGTGTTACTTAGGCATGTTGGGTGTTACTTAGGCATGATGGGTGTTACTTAGGCATGATGGGTGTTACTTGTGTATCTAGTAATGGGCGCCGTTACCCACTAACAACACAGTATCCAATTTAGACCTCGTCACCCACCTTTTCTACCCTCTTAATGGCGTCTTTGTTCTACTTTCCTCCTCTGATCCACTTTCTTCCTTCTTTCGTTTCTTCCTCCATCCTCACACCTCCTCGTTCTCATCTTTCCTCCTGTTTGTTATTTCTTTTAGCCTCTGTTCTCGAGTTCCCAGGCTGCTATTAACACTTGCTGGCGCTCCGAGTCATAGCACTTGTTCTTACGTCGAGGAATTTCAGGCACATATTCCCAAAGCTTTTTACTCTTCGTCACATTGTAAACTCCACCGGTTTTTAACACTATATCCAATTTCTGTTCAATATTGCTACTGTTAATAACTTTCCTTACTGTTAGGGGCTCTCACTATTGTTTCTCTCTGTTGTGACCCCGTTGTACTGTTAACAGGGACGAGGTAATAAGACCCATGTCAACTAAATAACGGTGTAAACAAGATGACGTAAACAACACACAGTGAAGGGTTATGATGGTAGACAGGGACAGTGGAGGGGAGAGAGGGAAGGACGGGAGGGTGTAGGCTGGGGAATGTACACAGAGAAGTGTAGAGAGCGTGGTGTGAGGGGGTGTCGTCAGCGCGGGGCAGCGGCTGTTAGTGAGGGCAGGTGAAGGAGGGCTCGCGAGTGTGGGGTCCAGTACTGTATGACGTACTGACTCACACACACACACACACACACACACACACACACACACACACTACATCCAATTAATAACGTTACATAATTGATATCGTCCATGAAACCTGTCACACCTCTGTACAACTCCCATCCAATTATCACATAGGGAGACAGATGACACGTGTTTATGACGGTATATTGATAATTAGAAGAGAAAGTAGCAAAGTGACGCATTCGAGTGTGTGTATGTGGGGGTGTGCGGGACTGAGTCAGCCTGTTGCTACAACTATCTGACTATGAGATATCTTACACCATGTGAGTCACCACACCATGTGACACACCACACCATGTGACACACCACACCATGTGACGCACCACACCATTTGACGCACCGCACCATGTGACACACCAAACCATGTGACGCACCACACCATGTGACACACCACACCATTTGACGCACCGCACCATGTGACGCATATCTTGAACACAATAAACACCATTATGTTACCTTTATCACCTTTACAGTGTCGCATGTAAACACCAAATATCTCTGAAACTAATATTGAATAAAAGATGTAATATATTCAGGCAACTTCTGTTTATATATAGAATCTTTATTAAGGCGTAAAATAATTATAGATTATTGTATATTTCACAAGAACTAATCATTAAAGAGTAAATAAGGGATTACAAATTAGCAAAAGTCTGTGTTGGATCCTGTTTCTCGATGTTTATTTGTTCATGTGTAAAGACAGTGTTTATGTGTGTGTTTAGGCCTGAAAAACTCTTTATGTGAAATTCTACAGGTAAAAAATCCAGGTGTATTGAGGAAATATATATCACCTAAACACAACAGAATTTGTATTACGTTTTAGTTCAGGGATTCCGATTTGGCATTAGTTTTTTTTTTATATATAAACACATTCGAATCCTCTTTATAATTATACATACACAGGCTCAAAAAACAGTATCATGTCACTTTTCATTTTTTGGTATGATCCCTTGAATATAAGCTTACAGAAGTATACAAGGCAGCGTATATGAGTCGATACATACAACAGAGAGGTGAAGGGGGTGTTAGTATCGTATGTATTGTGTGAGAGAAAATGGGTAGGTGATTACTTGCACTTAAGAGGGGTAACTCAGCTAGATTAGTGTTGGGCTGGTGAGAGGGTTTTCTTTTTTTCTTTCTTCTTCATTCCCTCTTGCCTTACTTTTTTATCTTCTTATCTTTCATATTTCCAGCTTTTTTCTACTATTCTCATAATTTATATCTATATTCCCTCCTTTGTTTTCTGTTAAAAATTTTCTTCCATTATTGCTTACTATTCCTTCTCTCTTATTTACCTCTTTCTCTTGTGCTAAAATCTTTAACCAAATTCCCGGGAAGGACAGGAACACTTTGCTGTATTGAGCTGTGTATTGAGGTGTTCAGTGTGAGGGCGAGGTGGAGGGCGGTGTGGACCCGTTCAACTGTTCCAAGATTCAGATTCTCAGAAAGCCACTTACGTCAATACTCCTAAGTGACGTTATGAGAACACTATTTTATTATAACGAAGTCCTATTCCATTTCGAAGTCATTTTAAATATCTTTGTGTTGCAGTGAAGTGAGTTAGTTTGATGCGTTCGTTGCTCGAGGAAATTAAGTTTAAAAATAGGAGACTGGATTTTTTTTTCTCGCAGGAACTTCATCATTGTGTCTCGGTAGACTTTATTTTATATTTATTCAGTATTTTGATGTTTATTAAAGCAAAATGTATATTATATTCGTATAATATTTTGTCGTATATTAAGGTTGGAATATATAAATCGTAGACATATATCGATTTTATTATACGTACATAAATGTCTCGTGTTTTTTCTTGGTTCAGGACTTTGTGATGCAACGGCACAGTAGTAAAAAACACAAGTGTATTGTTTTGTCTTGATTTTAATATTCTTTATTGATAGTATCTAATATATCCATTTTTCTGGTGAGAATTTTTATAGCGAATGTTTTTTATCATTCAAAATAATGGAAAATCAACTCCTAATGGCTTAAAGGTCACATATATAATAGGTGTTGAGTCTCGAAATTCTGTCCTTATGTTAAATTTTTACCTCGTAAGAACAAAGAAACGCCATTACATACGATAAATCTTAGTGTAATTTCGACGTTCTATTAACTATCATCTTAGTGTCGTAGCTTCAGTTCGTCAGCCAAGATGGATCATTTCTGACCTCAAAATTACACGAACGCTACTCAGAAAACCTGGATTCTTATGGATTCCTTGTTCGACTGCAGCAACGCCCTCTGTATGAAGACTACATTGAGTATTAATTAGACTATTTCTCAACCCAGACACAAAACTCCGGGCTTGGTGTGTCGGGGCTAAAATACCCCTAGCCTGCATCTTTAATAAGACCCTTGCCTAGTTTCAGCCACTTCCCCCTCCGCTCAATAGATGACGCCACCGATCTAGTTTACCGAGTTACTGTTGACTTTACCGATTTTTTTTCTTCATGTTTTGGAAATATGAAATTCCTTCAAATTGCAAGAGAAAAAAGAGAAAGAGAGACAGACAGGCAAACAAGGAGAGAGAGAGAGAGAGAGAGAGAGAGAGAGAGAGAGGTGAAATGGAAAATGGAAAGAGAGGAAAAGGGAAAAACACGTACAGGAATACAGACAGACATAAAGAGTAAAATAATATACAAATAAAAGTCTTCATAAATAACCCTAAGATTAAATTCGACACCGAACCATGACATCAAACACAGTGCTTCACACTTGTACAAAACATATGGCACATGATAATCACTCCTATCCCAGAATGATATCTCTTGTTATCTGTCATATCTGGGATAGCAGAAAGGTTGGGCGTGTGTACCTCCAACTCACGGGAGGCTGGATCCAGAGGGCTACAAGGTTGAGGAATGAGAGGGAGGTCGAGGGGTTATGTACCGGAGGCAAGAGAGGAGGAGAAGGGGGAAGGGAGGGGAGCAGCAGGGGAGGAGGAAGAGGAGGGCGAGGAGCAGGGGAGGAGGGGTAGGGGAGAATGAGGAGCAGCAAGGGGAGAAACGAGAAGCAGCAGGGGCGGAGGAAGAGGAACAAGGGAAGGAGGAGAAAGAGAAAGAGAGAAGAGAAGGGGAAGAAGGTTCTGGATTTAGCCAATGAGAGACGCAGTCGCACTTCACAACAAAGATGACGAAATGGAAAGAAAATCAGAAGAAGAAGGGAAGGACAGAGGTGCACACAGGAGGGAAGAGGAAGAGGAGTAGGAGGAAGAGAGGAGGAAGAGGAAGAGGAAGAGGGGGAGGAGGAGGAGCCGGGTGGAGAAAGTTCAGGTTTTAGCTAATAAGAGACAC